TTTCCTTCTGTCCGATCTTATTATCGAATTCAAACTTATCATATTTTCCAGTTCTTTTGAACAATTCAGACAAAAGAAGACCCTCAATAATTTATTCTTAACTTAGAGATTTTCAGGTCAATTGCCTTCTTAGAAGTTACAAACATGTTATCAATAATTTTCTGAACAAAGACAGATCTTAACCATTAAATTCGTAATTTATCGAGTTAAGTACGAATTCTCAAAGTACTTTCTCATTCAGGGTTAACTAAGACTATTTTACCTCTCAATGGTATTTTTGTAATTTCTTAACCAGATAACTTCGGTATTAACTCTTAACGAAAATAATATAATATAGAGATCATGTGATTAATTGCTTTCTTAAACATTCTCTGATCTTGAAATGATTCCCTTTAACAGACTTCTAGCATCTTGCACAAACCCTCGTGGGGTTAAAAAAACCAGTTATCCAAATCTTCTAATTAAAACTAGCATTTCTTATGCACATCTGTAGTTTTATCAGACCAATAAGTCTTTTCAGAGTTATTAATCAACTTTCAGGGGCAATTCTTATCATTTTCCAACGTAAGTGTAATTTCGTAATTTTACCTAATCGAAGTATTTCCATACCTTATCAAACGAGATAGATTATAAATTGCATATCCAATGTTGATTCCTATATCACTTAATCTTATAACTTGTAATTAAATTCAAATTGTCCTTCAATTTCTTATATTAGTCATCTGATCCATATTCAGTTACCGAATTTTTACTGTATTCGAATCGAGTGTAGAACTTCATTAATTACACATATGAGACCAAACATTTCCATTCATTTATCAATACCAACATGTTCTATAAAGCATAAAGAGGTAGTATTGTATTATCTTGATTTTCGTGCCATACTGATCGCCCATTAAATTCCATTTGAACGTCCTCGATCTTTAATTCAACTTCCAATAATTCCTCAGATGTGTCGAAACGATTTTTAAAACGTGTGGGGAAGCGAGATTTAGAAAAACCACGTCATTTTTAATTATTCTCTTTATGTTTGATTTTTAATTAAAAACAATGTGATTTTAGAAAACCTCTCGTTTCGAAAATTTGGAAATTCCTTTACAATAAAAACATATGGTTCGAGGAGTCGCCACCAATCTTTGATTAGGGTGTGATTGGGCACCCAAAAATGTTTTGCCATTTTAAATAAAAAAATTAATTTTAATTAAAACAAAAAATTTAGGTCTGCATTACCAAAATTCGAGTTCGGGAGTCGGTTACGCGTGGGGAAGTATTAGCACCCCCACAACGCCCTAAATCGGTACCTGTCGATTAATTAATGTCTTTGCAATGAAATTTACAAATTTGAGTTTAATTTGATTTATGATCCCCGACAAAACACCACATGAATTTTACAAAATTCAAAAGCACCCAAAATAGATTGAATTAAAATTACCAGGCCTTTAGAAAGATAAAGAATATTCAATTATTTACAAATATCGAGACCAGATCTTAGATAAGTTCTAACTATCTTTTCTCGATAAATTTAAATAGCCGAATATTTCTTTTTCTTTCGTTCCCAAATTTTAAAAGCGATAAATTAATTTCTTAGGTGTCACTGATGGAATATACTTTTAATTTAAAATCATCAAAAGTGGATATCTAATCAGTTAAGACAACCCACTTAAAATAATTTTAAATTAAAAAGATATTACCTTTAATTAAATTATGTAAATACATTGAGTTTATGCACGTGAGGCTAACATGCAAATCATACTAAAATGATGTCATATAAAAATTAATTAAACCAATATTTTAAAATATCATGCAATGTGACATTTCCATAAAAATTATATACACATTTTATAACTAAAAATATATACTATATACATAGTTATATTTAATGAACAAATATGACCTAAACAAAACAAACGAAAACATAATACAACAAATTATAAATTTCAGAAAATAAATATATTTATTAAAACGAGGACTAAATGATATCAAATAAAACTTTAATAACCTAATTATAAATAAAATATGAATTAAGGTAGAAATGCTAGTATTATACCATATTAAATACTAAGAACTGAAATGAAACTATTCCTATTGCAGGGGACTAAAAACAGAATAAATCCCAACACACTCATGACTAAAGTGCAACATGCAAAAATATGAAGGTCAAATATCTAAACAACAGAAAATAAACAAATCAACACTAGGACGAAAATTAAATGAACCATAAAATAAATAAACAGAATTAAAAACATGCAAACTTCGACCTAGGGACTAAAATGAAACATGCAAAAATTAACAGTTCAATGTATAAAGAACAGAAGCTAAATACAATACCACTCAGGACTAAAATTGAGTACGCGTAAAATATGGAGACGAAATCAGAAACACAAAAACACCTATTTAAGGACTAAAATGTATTAAGCTGCAAATGAAAATGACTCATATGGAAAATGACCCAAGCGCAAAACATGAACCTTAAGGATTAAAATGGTAAAAACAGAAAATAAAAGGTTAAAATAAAATAACAGAAATTAAAGTGTGAAAATCAGGAAAGATACAAAGATAACCGTCTGAATGTATTTTCTTTGATCTGCCGTCATCCACCGTCCGATTGTCATGATTTTTCAATAGGTTGTTTGTGTTGGCATCGCGCAACTTTTCACCGTTCGGAATATTGATCGCAGATTCCGATCACCGGCAAGAGGCTAAAAACCGTCCGGATTTGTTTTCTCCGATCCGTCACCTTCCACCGTCTGATCGTCCTGATTTTTCAATATGTTGTTCGTGATGGCCTTCCGCAACTTTTGACCGTTCGGAATGTTGATCAAAGATTCCGATCACCGGAAAGAGGCTAAAAACCGCCCGGATTTGTTTTCTCCGATCCGTCACCGTCCACCGTCTGATCGTCCTGATTTTTCAATATGTTGTTCGTGATGGCCTTACGCAACTTTTGACCGCTCGGAATGTTGATCGGATATCCCGATCTCCGGAGAGAATCCGACAGATTACGAGAAGTGTTGTTTTCTATTTTTTTTCCTCCTTCCTCTCACGTTTTGGCCTCCTCTCTGTCTATGGTCTCTCCTCCCACCTCTCCCACGAGCCCCCTTCTTTATTTCATTTCCACTGAATCCCACTTGTCCTTTTGCATCTTAATTTCCTTGCATTTGGTGAAGTTTTGATAAGTTTAGGTATGATTAATTGACTTTTTCCTCTTTTTTCTTCCATCTCCAGGAAAGAGAGAGACCTTTACAAACAAATTTGTTTTCTTTTTTCTTGATGGCCCCCCCACGTTAGTCTCCCCTCATCAATCTCCTTAAAGTGGTTGCATGCTTCTCATTTTATTTTCTGTGGGATAATAACATTTAGGGTGGGTATAATTTGGTTGAAGTATGTGAATAATTTAGGGTAGGTAATGAATCATCCGGATAAATCAAGCATCTACAAGATGCATATCAACAGAAATTACATAAAGAAAACGAAGCTTAATTCCTAAAAACGGATCGAATCGGGTGATAAATCAGTGAAAACCAGCTTACCGGGTTTGAATTTGACGAAACAGACTTTGGATTCAGGACGTTGAAAAATATAAAATATGACTTTTCGAAAATTTTGACTTTTTCGGTCAAAGTCAACGGTCAATGGCGATCAACTGTCAACGATTTTACACAAATATCACCTAACAGAAATTAATTACAAATTAGGCACCATTCTAAAAATATTTACAAAACTAGCACCCGAGTTTTACACAAATATCACCCTAACAGAAATTAATTACAAATTAGGACTTCCCCACGCGCAGTGGCGGCGCGTGCGGTGCCGTGAAGTATCCAAAAATTCCTGAAAAAATTCCTAAAAATTATTTTAAGGCATTTTGTGATACTAAGCTTGGTTCACAATTTTGAACGGCAAAGAGCTCGTTTCCGGAACATCAAAAACTTTGACCGCTTCACCTCCCTCATGCACCGCCGCTGACGGAAACAAGGAGGACACCGGCGGACTCAGAATGACACAAAGAACACGATGGCGCGGGAGGTGTAAAAAACGGAGTAACAATCGGCGATGAATTTAAGATTTTTCTCGGCGGTGGTGCTAAAAAAAGGTCAAAACTTTGACTCGAAATTCATGACATTTGACAGCGTTTCACTTCAATTGATTTAAGGGATTTTCATCAGTCGATGATAAACACGATGGTGGTTTCAAATCGACAATCGGATGTCGAACGGCGTCTGAATCGGGTTTGAAAGTTGGATGTTATAGGATAAAATTTGAGAAATTGATTTCTGTTTTGAAAACAGAAATCACGCATATAACATGTCTGCCGACATTATTTGGGTGAATTTAGGGTTTGATCTCTGAATTTCCTACAACTCTAAAACATGCTACAGGTTTTAAAAATTTTCATTTTAATCAATTTTCTTCCCAAAATACCAACTAAATCCACCACTTTATAATTTCTAAAATTTAGCTCCTAAATTGATGTGTTACACACACACACCATCACTTTTTTATTTTATCAAGGAATATATTCCTTATTTTATTTTATTTATAATATTATTTATTTATTTATTCTTTATATTATATGTTAGATAAAATTTTATAGTTTCATAGTAAATAGATAAAATACATATACTATTATAGTATTATAAAGTGAATTCCTCTCTAATAAAAAAATTATATAATAATAAATAAATATATAATTATGATATTTAATGTTAATATAAAAATTTAATTTAAAATTAATCACGTCAATTTTAGATAAGAGGAAATTTTAATTTTAAATTAAAATTAATTTAATTTTAAAATAATGTTAATAAATAATTTAATTAATTTAAATTTAAGTAACTAATTTTAAATATAACTATTACAATATTATTAATGATATATATTTATAATACAGTTTTAAGAATTAAATTAGAACAATTCATCTATGTAATTTTATATTTTAGATAATTTAAAGTTTGTTACGGCGCAATTAATAGCGTATTGCGGTGTTACATAACGGTTTTTTACCGCAACAATTGTGATACGATTCTCTTATCACGTTGCACCAATATTACGTCGTGATAACCTTCAAAAACGTTACATGCGGGCTTTACGCTGTGTTGCATCCGCGTAGTACACATCTGACCCGCCTCCGCGGATGCGAGTGCAACAATCGAAGAGCAGTCTCGGTGACCAAATTTCCCACAACCGAAACAGATAAGCGGTAGTCCCTCGTAATACCATCTATTATCAACTTCAATTTTTGGCACAAGAGATTTACCAAAATCGACTTCGACACAGGCGCGAGCAAACCGTCCTTTCGAGGCATAACTGGTATTCGGGTCCACCTTCAACGCTCTCCCAATGGTGTTGTCCATTGCAAAAAGCATACGTTCACTGTAATAATGTATCGGGAGTTCTGGAAACCGAACCCACACTGCAGTCGAATCTATAGTGGTTGAAGAAGGGTGAAAGTCAGCAAACCATCTCCGAACCGTAAGATAGTGACCATAAATAATCCATGGTCCTTCCTCTATAGAAAATCTAAGGTCATCCACCGAGGAAAACTTAGTTAAGAAATATCCATCACCAACGTCTATCAATTCATAGTCTGCTTTCGGCGCCCACGTTTTCCTGTTTCTTTCATCAAGATCCCGGAATCCTATAGACTTCCCAAGTAGTTTCAGAATTAGGCAATTAGTCCATCTAACTTGCAGGCTATCCCTATATCTCTCTGACGTCGTCAACGACGGCCAAGAATCCTTGCAACCTACCGCTATTAATCCTTCGTTCTTGTCAATGGGTCCAAACTCATCTGAATCTTGGAAGCCATTGATCAGACTTTTTCCTATAAGCATATTCCGATAGGACGGCCTTCTCTCATCCTGATTATTGGTTTCCAACTCCGTATGGCTATCCTCCTCCATGGTGACTTCGGCGCTTCTTCCCAAGGATTCAGGAGCCATGACTTTGACTTTTTTTCTTACTTCTCTCCAGTTGGTCATTTTCCTGATTGGATCTCTCGTTATTTGCATTACTCATCAGTGTTTTGGAATTATTATCATAAACAAAGATCAAACAACGACGATGGAAGAATAAGAATTGACAACCTTGCAATGGCCTTAACACTTAGGATGCTATATAGAGAGAGATGTTGTAGCAACACTCACTAGTCAACCAAGATTTTATATGTTGATCTAATATCTTCTCATGACTAAATTTTGTGTAAAGTTACTCAAATTTAATATATTCATATATATTGAAACATTCGTTGTCAGATGGTTAAAAGACTTTAGAACAGATAATACCGTTCAATTATAATCACCTCTAGATTAATTTTTTAAAAAAGAAATAAAAGAAAGTTCTAACCTTATCTATTATGCCAGGAAAAAGATTATAATCCTATAATCTTGCTAACGGTAATGAACAAGATTTAGGTATTAAATTACCTAGCAACAATTAGACATTTATGCTGCCAAATGGGATTTCTATTAATGGGGAAATCTTTTCTATAAATTTCTTTCCAAAAATTATAGTGAACCACCAAATTGTTCTACCGAAATGTTTAAAGAATAGTAAAGATCGAAAAAAGAAATAACAAAGAGAAGCCTGTCGTACTACTACCACTATAAATTTCATCATTGCAAATGAATGTTTGTGAGAAAATTGAGATAAAATATGAAGTGTATTCATAGCATCACTTTCTCCATTCTCTTATCTCTCTCTTTGTTACTTTTTCTCAATAGCCATTGCATCTTTTGATGAAGCTGGTACGTTTGATCTCTTTTCTTCTTCTTCTTTTCTTAACTATTATCCTTCATTTAAGTTTATTCATTGGTGGTGAATAAAATTATACACCATTAGTGCATTAAATACAATCATTTTTTCTGTGCAGAGGATGAAACTGTATTTACTTACATAGAAGGAACTGATAAGGGGCCAAAGGAATGGGGGAAACTAGACCCACATTGGAAACTTTGTGACACTAGAAAACTGCAGTCTCCTATAGATATTCCCAGTGGAAAACTGCAACTTGTTCCTAGTCTGGGGAAGTTGAAAATGAACTATAATCCTGTCCCTGCTGTTCTCAAGAACCGTGGACATGATATTAAGGTAAAATTGTGTTTAAACCCCTCGATTATTGTTTCATAATGAAAAATTCTATTATCATACAATATCAGATAAGGTGGAAAGGAGATGCTAGGAAAATTAACATAAACGGCACCGATTATAAACTGCTTCAGTGCCATTAGCATTCACCATCTGAGCACACATTCAATGGAACTAGGTATATTTCTGTGTCTTCTTATCCCGGCACACGCATACATAGTTAATTATTGTTTTGTTAAACAGGTATGCATTGGAACTCCACATGGTTCACAAAAGTGATCATGGAGAGATGGCTGTTACTGCTGTTGTTTATAAATATGGTCGGCCTGATCCCTTCCTCAGTAGGGTATGCATGCTTAACACCTTCATTGAAATCTATAATGGAGTACTTGTTTTCTCTTAATTGATTTTTGTTTTTGTCAGCTTTTTCACGACATAAAAACACTAGGAGAAGAAGAGAAAATTTTGGGAAATACTAATCCAGGAGATATCAAGTTTGATACTACAAACTACTTCAGATATATTGGTTCACTTACCGTTCCTCCATGTACTGAGGGTGTTGTTTGGAAACTTATCCAAAAGGTATTTCTCTTTAATAAAATTGAAAACATTATATAAACAAAACAAAAAATCTATACACAAATCATGTAAACTGAGTTTTAGGTGGTCATTCTTATCATTATTTTTGGATCATTTAGAATTCTAAATTCTAAACAAAAAAAAAATCTATACACAAATCATGTAAACTAAGTTTTAGGTGGTCATTCTTATCATCATTTGTGTATAGATTTTTAATAAATTTTAATTATATAAACGAACAAAAAAGAATCTACACCAACTAACTTAAAATTACACATTAAATCATTTAAAATTTAAATTTTTATAAATTAAATTAATGATAATCATCGTTAATAGTACTCGTGAATGTGAACGTGGTAGAATTTTCCTATCAGAAATTACTTTCTTGCAATAGTATCAATGATTTCTAAGTTGATGTATTTGATAGATTAATAGTAATAAATTATAAAAATAAAGGGTATTAAATTGCTTACCAAAATTTAGTGACGTGTACTGCCAAATGGAAAGGTAATTAATCATAAGTCAAGTTTAAGCATAGAACAATCATCTAGGGGGAAATCTTTTCCAATAATTTCTCACCAGCTAGGACCAGGTAAGGCAATTTCGTAACCAATAAATGATATTTTTATTGTAATGATAAAAATAAAACTGTGTTCAAATGATAAACAGTGTACAAAATAATTGTAGTATCATCAATAACTTCTTACCAGAGTCCAGAATCCTAATATTTCTTACCAGAAATGATCTATTCAATAGAAAAACTATGATTTAAAAATATTTTTAAAAATGTTAATATATATATATATATGTATAATTTAATGATTTTAAAAAATATTGGAAAAATATTAATTTCTTGACTTCAAATGTTTCAAAAGAAATTGTGTAAAACTAAAATATCCATGTAAACATGATGCTGAAAAATGAAAATAAAAAGATTTAATTACTATTTAAATTCGTTAAAATTAGAATATACAAAAAAATAAATGTTAAATACTTTCTAAACAATTAAAATATACTTGCAAAACTTAATTTAAATGTATAGACTATGTTTTTTATTGTAAAATCACATGCAACATAATCTTTATAAATCCATATATAATGTTACATGTTTTTATATAAATTTCAAAATAGAAAATAAGTTAATAACGGTACACATTGAAAAATAGATGTATTGATCTTTACAATTTAGAGTGAACTGTATATTCAAAATAATTGTGTTACCAATATAAAAACAAGAAAAATTTTATGATTTCATATCAAAATTAACTTCTCCAAGAGCTAAAAACACTTAAATCTATGATTAAATTTGAAAATCCTATTTAAAAAGAAGCTGATTGTTTTGCATTTTGTAACATTACCATTTGCTGTCGAATGAACTTTTTTTTACATGAAGGGACACTGTCAAATGCTTTTGAACAATAAAACAAATGTTAAAGGAAAGCATATTTAATTAATAAAGTAGGCCATAATCAAACTACTTTTACCAGACCATCATACAAACAAAAACAGAAAGGATAATTACTAGTAGTGATATTATGGTCCATAATTACTGATCATACACCCACACTATACTTGAAAAGGAATAAGCAACGCAATCGGTAGAAAGGGATTACAGCAGGCAGGATTAAAACCAGCGGCCATTGCATTTGACATTTACCATCCCACTTTACTCTTTTCGTCTCCGAGTTCTTCTTGCAACCTGAAGCAATCCCAAACAAACCATATTCATTTTGAATATAAATGGTCTGTGCAGTGTAGACCAATATTTTTAAAAATATATATATATGATAATATTTCCTTGTTTAAGAAACAGATATTAAAAAAAGAAGAAAATGTAAAAGTGGTGCACTTACACGATCTCCCTCTATAAATTCTGATACTGATGATGAATTTCTGGATGATCTCTCTTCCTTCTTGCCCTTTTCTGGACCATAAAATTAATCACCTTTCTATATATTTAAAATATTACAAAAGCCCTTTAATGGCCGACATGTAAGGAACAGGCAAGAGTTTCAACTGAAAATAATAGTATTATAAAATGTAAAGATAAATTACCTCTCCAATGAACCTTACTGTGCTCCATATTTAATTTTGTCTTAGACTGTTGTCTGGAATCATTTCTCAGCTTAACAGCTGTCTCTTTCACACTATTGACAGCAGAATGCAACAAAAGAATAGCAGAAAAACAGCAATGAGTTATAATGGAAACAAGATTACTATCAAATGCTACACACTACAGAAGTGTTAATTTATCTGGTTGCCACAGGCAAATCGAACAAAGTTTAGGCATTGCTAAACAGCAGAAACAATTGGAGTCCCAAAGAGTTGGATTAATTTGCATGATGAAGCAAACAAAGGAAATGATATAAGCAATATGTCCAATAATAATTTCACGGGCAATTGAATGGGTGCTGGGAAAGCAAGATGCAGGTCGTTATAGCCAAAAAAATATTATAGACCAACTTACCATTGCCGCAAATGCAAGGTGTTTGGTTTATCTGATGGCTGAACCTCATTTCATGCAAAAAATGGACAGAACAAGATTAATATAATAAAATCACAAAGATGAACAATGAAGGATCAGAAAAATGACGCTAAAAAATCATATGCTTAGATGGATGGAAAATCATGTAGGATTGGACAGCAATTATGCCATCGTATTTTGTAAATATTATATTTGTTGCTGTTTCTTATTCTCGGTGTAACAGGATTATTTTGCCAATAACCACTTTGTTTGGTATTTAAGGCAGGCACCATATCCAGGTTCTAAGTAAAGCAACACCCCCTGCCCTCCTCCCAAATCGGCTAATTTGCCATCATTAATAGAGTCGAAAGAATATAATTAATTTCAGTTCTCTAGTCTGAGGTCAGAGCAAATTTAATTCTAACTAGACTGGCGTATTTATGGAACTGGACAAAGAATCCAATTCCTTTACATCTTTAAAACATAAACACATGCTTAACAGTTTGAAGCTCAAAAGAAACACTCTTAGCTTTCACACTTACCCTCTCCGTCAAGGAACAGTCACTTATTGTCTCCCAGCTCTCACTGTCCAAGCATAATATATCAACTTCTCCACTATCACATGTGATCTGTCAATTGCAAGAAAACAAATCTAATCAAAACAAATATTTGCTCATAGCTAAACTGAAAAAGAAAATACGAGCATGAACATTCAATTCTAAATCAAAGAAATCTCACTATTTCTTGGAGACATTAGAGACAAACCAAATAAATAAAAATCAACAAATTGAGTAAAATTAAATTCCACACAGT